CAAGACTAGGGAACCTCCTTCCAGAGTCATTTCACCTTGGTAAAATAAATGAATGTATATAAATAATCTTTCTACGTTCTTGAGCATAAAGTGATGCAATCAATTCTCTCTATGGGGATCGCGATTGCCTCAATGCGTTTTTGAGAAGACGAAGAAGTCAAAATGAACGGACACAATCGGCGCGAGACAGACGGCCACCAAATCACTGAACCGGACCACGCAAGCATGGACAATGGTTGGACTTAACCTGGGATTTCGATCTACGAAAATTTTGAAACTGTCCTATGTGTACTCTTCGCCCATGTTGCTCACCATGTTTGTACAAATTCACTAAGAGCTCTAATCGAAAGAGATTAACAGAACATTTCACCTATTTTTTTATTTCTACTGCCTTTTATTGATTATATAGTACATATTTCAAGGAGGAAACGGAAAAACAAAGTGCCTGCCAGACATCACACACAATGGGGGAAGTCAGGTAGTGGTGGTGGGATCCGAACAAACTTCCTCCAGGGCGATGGTTCGGTGGCCTTCATCACTCGGGTCACTACCGCCTTATGTTTCTAGGCCTATTGTTCTCACTCAATCCAGGTTTAATATTCATCATATATTACCTTCGTATAATGGAATAAAGTGAGAAAGATTTCGAGATTCGCTGTTAAGCTTACAATGTTTACGGAGAGAAGGCGAAAAAGCGAGATGAGCAGGACTAGGGGCGTTGCTAGAAAGAGAGTGGAGAGTAAAAACAAACAACCAATATGAACAGTTAACACACACTAAATGTACACGCACGCCTCTTTTGGCAACTTGAGCTGATAAGAAATGCCAACACTACCGACGGCAGTTCGTTGCTATATCTTTCAGTGCCTCCGATTAACTAGTTAATCTTTTGGACCCCAGACTTGGAAGAAGGCATCTATTCTATTTCACCGCTGCGGTTCTCCAAAACTCCTCTCCCAAGCATATGCTGATACATAATTGAGATCCATCAGCCTGGAGTAGAAGTTTTTGCGGCAGACCAAGCGTATTGCCTGGTATAATAAGACAATTTAGGGTAGGGGTTCAA